TATACGTGCATTCTTTGTATCGTTTCAATTTTATCGAATGTCCCCGTCTCCTATACGTATACCTGTTTTGAAAATTACAGTCTCAGAAGATGTATTTTTAATTAACACCTGTGTGTTGGGTGCGATGATTAAAATTACGGGTGTATATAGCAAGTAGCAACATGCGAAGCTCCACAGAAACAACTAAGCACCGCCGTTGCACATATACAAGCTCCTCTCTCTACCGCCCTCTTCCCTCTAAACCCTGATCGTTCAGTGTCTGGGCTTTAGCGCGCGCGATCTCTCTCTCTCTCTCTCTCTCTCTCTCTCTCTCTCTCTCTCTCTCTCTTAAAACTCGCCGAGTTGAATCAGAGCCTCCAACTCGGCGTCGACTCGGTCCTCCAACGCCATGCAAGTGATCTCCAACACTCGCAGGCTCTCCAGAGCTTTCAAATCTCCCATTTGTATCAAATCCGCCGACCAATTTCTCTCTCCCGATGCCCGAGTCGTCGAAGCTCCTCTCACTTCTCTCCAATGGCGGAACCTCGGCGCCGGCTCTTCCCAAACGGCCTTGTTCTCTGGTAATCTCAGCATTTGCTCATCTAATTCTCACTTGAAAATTCAATTCTTTTCTGTTTTTGTTGAAATTTTAGTGCATTATCTTCTGTTTGGTAGCCGAGAAAATATCTGGAAAATCAAAGATGAACCTTTTTTCTGGAACTGAGGAAATCTGAGCTTAAAAGGAGTAAATTTTTTTTTTTTTTTTTGTGACCATTTTTGTTAATTTCTTGTATTTGGATTTTGTTTCAATAGTTTATATTCTGTTTGGTTGCTAAGAAATATGAGGAATGAAAAGAACAGAAAAGCTCAAGTTATGAAATAATAGTTTTTTGTTGGGTCATTTTTCTTAGTGAACTAAGCAAACAAACTAATTCTACATGATGAAATCGATAGTTTCGTAACTTGAGATGCTGAATTATGTAGGCAGTACTCGTGGTCATCTTTTGCCGATGGAACAACATTCAACTTGTGCAGTGATGACATTGAGAGCGCCCTTTTCTTCTCAAGCGAGTACCATCGAAGGTGGTTCCACAGGTTGTAGTTTTGCTTGGGCAGGAGTTGGTTAAGATTGTTATTTAAGTTCATTTGTTGATATTTGCTTTGCTCGTTGGGTGCAGAGGCTGTGAAGGAGCTGTATGATAAAATGTTGCAGTCTGTTAATATAAAACGATCGATGCCCCCTAATGCTTGGTTATGGTCATTGATTGAAAATTGCAAAAAGGAAGGAGATATTAAGCTTCTATTTGACATCTTGCAGAACCTTCGAAGATTTGTTAGTTCCTAAATTTTTAGCTCGAATCTTCTGAGCGAAGTGTAATTTGTTTCTGTTGACAGTTGTATGATTTGGTTCTGATTGCAGAGACTGTCAAATCTTCGCATCCATTCCGATTTTAATTGCAATCTTTGCCGAGAGGTTACTAAGGCGTGTGTTCATGTGGGAGCTCTTGACTATGGTATGCTATTAATCTGATTCTTAGACCTCAAGTTAGAGTTATTGATAGGTCTACACTTTTGGGAAACCCATGCATGTATCTTACATTGCAGGAAAGAAGGCCTTGTGGAAACATAACGTGTATGGATTGGCTCCTAGCATCGGATCTGCGCACCATTTACTGGTACCAATGAAATTGCGCTTTGACTGTTTGGGTTTCTCTTGTACTTCATCTTTGTATGCAATCATTTCTAGCTGTAAATTGGATGCAGTTGTATGCTAAAGAACGCAATGATTCTAAACTTATGGTGGAAGTAATGAAACTTTTGAAGAGGAATGGCCTACCATTGCAACCTGGTACAGCAGATATTGTTTTCAGGTATCTAGGTTATAAACTAGGATTGCCTCAGTAATGCTCTTCTTTCTTTATAAACAATTGCTGTGAAATAAGATAATCATTACAAAAGGTTATAGCTTTCAGTAGGGTTTTGTTTTTAGTTTTTTAATTGTTCTTAATAAGATCCTAAATCTGTTTTGGGTTGACCGTTTGCAGCATTTGTTACAATACTGATAATTGGCAGTTGATGTCTAAGTACTCAAAAAGGTTTGTCAAAGCTGGAGTAAAGCTACGTCAAACTGCTTTTGATCTATGGATGGAATTTGCTGCTAAAATAGGTCTCCACAAAATCACAGTTCTCTTATATTGTATTACACCAAATAATGTTCTTTTTCTATTGTCATCCTCAGCCATGCCAGTACTTTAGGTTATGCTTTCTTTTACTTCACATGAATATTCTCCTGTTTCCTGGTATTTAATTTATTATTTAAAGAATTTCTAGTTTCTCATTTGCAGGAGATGTTGAATCATTGTGGAAAGCAGAGAAGCTAAGATCTGAATTGATGAAGCAGCATACTGTTGCAAGTGGACTTTCATGTGCTAAGGTATTGAATTTGAACCTTACATACACACACGCCCCAACGCAAAAGTTTGATACCTATTTGTTAAAACAACTTATAGATGGGTCCAGTTAAGCAATGGACTGAAGATGGAGGATTCTACAACCACATATGGAAGAGAACCACTCAAACCTGGTTATAGCCGTTTAATTTAGTCTTGCACTGGTTAAATGGATTCTAAGAAACTAGAATCAACTAGCTCTTGGTCTAAGTGGTATTCCTTTTCCAATGTTGGAGGAAGCCTTAAGTTCGAAACCCCTCTTTTCTTAATAAGAAAATAAAATAAAATAAAGAGAACTGAAGGTAGAGCTTTGACTCAGCATCTCCAGTTAGAGCTTTGTCTGGGTTGAGTCGTTTGAGTAATTAGTTTCAAGTTTCAACCAACTACCCTATGCTTTTTAATTTTAATTTTTTCAATTCATTGCAGGGTTTTCTGTTAGAACGTAAGCCCGAGGAAGCTGCTTCCATCATTCAAGTTCTAAATCAGGTTTGGTTCCTGAACATACTCATACTTTATACTTATCATAGGGAGAAAAAAGAACTTTCTAGGTTTTGATACCTAATTTAAATTTGACCCTTTTGGGGAACTGCAACATATTTACACAATACTAAGAATTCCCTATGTTGAATTGAAAAGCATAGGTTGAATTGAATTGAACTTTTATATATCTGTCCACCCACTGATACATGTTTGACATACAAAGAGGGAATAGTTCCTACACTGGTTTTTCATGAAGTTTGAGTTCCATTGTTAGCTACAGGGGACACAAATTTTGGTCAAACATGTTGCCAATGATCTAATATTATGTTTTCCTATTTGCTGGCCATTGGGATTTCTCTATGCCAGATTTTACCTGATACAAAGAAGTCCAGTATCGTGGTTGGGCTTGAAAAGTTAGTTAGTGAGTGGCCCTTAGAGGTTATTAGGCGCCAGAAGGAAGAGGACAGAAAGGTATGCCATTTATGCAGTTGTCTTTGAAAAAAAAAGAAAATTAAATACCTATGCAGCTATGGTTGTTCAATTGTCCGTTTGAGAACTCAAGTTTACTTGGTTGTTCCCATGTCCAGGCATTAGCTACATCTTTGATCTCTGATATCCCTACAATGGTTAGTTCCCTATCAAACACGGGCTTACAAGTGAGCATAAACATTGATGACCTAACCAGCAAAGAAGGTATTCTTTATTGAACTCCGGCCTGTAAAAGAGAGAGAACCATGTTTTTCTGCCATGGTTGATGAGCATTCCAGAAACCCGCCCTCCTTACAAAGGCACTCCCAGCTTTCTCAATGGTTCGTTAGATTATAACAAATTTTGTTATGCTGGTCATTTGATTGGATTTGATTATACTAGTGCTTTTGTATCATTTCTAATGTTTTCATGTTGAAACATGGTTTTGGTTGTGATATGGAGGGATATTTTCCGAATGTTAGTTTAATTTTATACTATCTCTAGCACTCTAGCTAGATCTTTCTAGCAAGAGGATAGTTCGAAATTTCTTAGTAATATTTTCAGAATTTAAACATGCTATTAGAACATCTTAGAAACGTGAAGACCATCTCCCTGTTTTCCAGTTTAAAGCGATTCTCTTCTTTTCTTCGGTCTGAACTCAATGTGCGTGAATCTGACTTATACACTCTTCTTCCCAACGGAGGGAGTGGAGAGTATACTTTCCCATGTTTTACACACCGGAGTACTGACTGCTACAATTTCGATAGTTGCAGTCATTAGCCCTTGTGCGTGAGATCTGACTGTTGATGCTAAATTCGGAAATATTGCCCACACGAGTGGGCGACTGGATGTAGCGTACATCTTACATGAAAAGGGAGAGTTTACAAGCAGCTGCCTATCGTTCTTTCTTGCGCCTTAATCGCATGCACTCCTTGACCACCGCCTTTCCATCCTCAGACCGGGATCAGGAGACGCCTTCTAGATTATTGCACGGAGGAGAATACATAGTGACTTTCTCTATAGGCACTCCCCCCTACCCAAGTACATGCCTTCCATGGACACAAGAAAGTTAAGTACTTTCCTACTGAAATACTCAGTACAATCCGAATTTAGCATGTCTGTTCAATGTGAAGTTGTTGACCTGTGCGCTTCCGGACCCGCATCAGCTGTTGTCAGTTGTCAACGTGTTTGCTTCCGGATGGATCAACAAGGGGATTTTTTTAACATGACAAATTTGCATTTAAAGAAACTGAGAGGAACCTTGCAGATGTCGGTAACTTGGATTTCGGTTGTCCTGATCAGTCTTGTCCCACTTTGTTGGGAACCAAGCAGGTGCTCTCGGTTTGAGCAGGCAACCCATCTCCTTCATTTCTCAACTCGCCAAAATTAAGTTCTCGTACTTCGACTCAAATGCTTCTCATATTTCAATTAACCTACTCCCATTAATGTTTCAAATTGAAATTAGTCTTCAAATTAAGTGTCGCATTCTTGTTTGATTTTTTGGTTAGAATGGAAGGGAGTCGAACTTATTCTGGGTTTTTACAAAACTTCGCCCTAATCAACAAATAAAATTGAATTAATGAAATATTAAAAAAAAAAGGATAATTTGTATATAGCCTTGTATAACCTTTTTGTTTCCTTGCTATCTCCTCTTTTGTTCCAAATATCAGAAGTCTATGGAAAACAACTCTTAGCAATAGTACTTCCAGAAATATTGGTAAAGATCATTTGGACAGGATATAAATTACATGGAGTAGTAAAGATGGAATCGAATTCCATTATTATGCGCGCGCGCGTACACACACACCCCAAATTGGCTAGTACGTACTTGACAACATGAGCAATAAAAATTACGTTCTACCTCTACAGGCATTGTAAATTAGAGGGTTCCGAGCAGACTATTATTCTACATAGACCTCCTGCTAAGGCCTAGAACAGCAAGCACAACTAGGAAGAAGAATGCCAGAGATCCAAGGAAGGACAGGGCGGTGGAGGCTGCGACTAGGTGGCAGAATTTTCCGAAAACGTTGCAGACCTTGTTCCACTGCACACGTGTATTCCCTTGATACCCCATTAGGCCAATTGCCCCGGCAGATCCAATGGCGGAAAAGAGCAACGCCACCATTGACAGATCGAGCACGATGATCACCAGCCCTAACTTATTCTTCGTGCCCCGATTCGCAAAAGAAAGGACTAGGGAAAATGCTGCATATGCGCATGCTATGGCGTCTGCTGCCACAAGGTACCTAGCACATATTCAATCTTGGTAAAATTAGTTGCTTAAACAATTACTGCAGAATTAGCAAAATAATTATAAAAAAAATTTAGTCAAGAAATAACACGCGTAGGTAATTTAGGATACAAGTATACTAGTCTAGACTGAGGTATCCAGGACCATGCTAGCTAGCTGATTGAATTTTTGCGAGCGAAAGTGGTTGAGGTTATTAATTAAGTGATTAAACTTTTTCTTCAACTTAATTTTCCTGTCACAACAATACAGATGGAGTACTGATGACAAGGGACCAGGGAGGATTCCGTACTTACGAGGGACTTGTAAAGTCTTGTCCTGACTTGATACCTCCATGTACATGTGGAGAGGAATACTACCAGATTGTAGTTTTACTAGCATCTTGCATAGGTGAAAAACTTATATGACACATGTACACTACTACGGTGACATCGAAAAAAAGATATATATGAGTGTTTGTTATATCCTTATTTTATTAACAAGAGACGTCATATGATGATATACCGGTATCATATAAGTTGTTCGCCTTGCATAGAGAATTATACGTACTCAAATTCAGGAAAAATGTAGCGGAGAATTTTATTGAGATAAGGCATGGCAACGGACTGAGTGAGTGAGCCATATGAGTTGGGTATAACTTTGAAGCAAAGATTATCTTCCACTACATCAATCTTCATCTATGACTCGTGTTCTGTTTGATCTGAGAAAAGACCTCGTTTATGACAAAAATTATATTCTTACCATCTATTTATTTCATCTCTTTAATAGAGATGAAATCCACACATGTTAATGAGTCTATCTTTATTAAAAAGATCACACAAATAGACGGTAAATCTAGCATCACTCTGTTTACAATTTCCACATAAGCCTCAATTTGTATGGAATGAACTCTTGTTTTACGCAAAATAAATATATAAATAAATGCATGTGTTCACTGCATTAGTAACACCACGTGGAAAAGTAACCATATCAATTTGAATAATGTATGGTATTGCTTTCTTGCTCTACGTTGATAGATATCTCGTACATTATGTTTGACGCTGTTAATTTGGATCACACAAATACATAAAATTTCACATAGTTAAAGATGGAAATTTCAATTTGTTGCCAAGCATAACGTATACTGCTAATTACATATACAAAGAAGATTTTACCTTAGTTTACACATAACATACTAGATTGTCTAACATAACATAAGCTTTTACTTTTGACCACCTATTTAAACAAAACTTCACCTAATTAAGGTCTACCCGATTAACAGTTTGGCAACATAAATGTCTGACATAACTTGAAGGTTGATGAAAGAATACAAGTGATGCATCAAAGGATTTTCCTACCCGTTATATTGAACTCAAAGACTATGACACACATATGTTATCCACAAAATCCATAGATTGCTTGGTAATGTATTTATATATCTGGACATTCACATGTAAGTTTCCCATAACATTACACTTTTAGAGGAAAAGTTTGACAACAAGAATTTATTTATTTATCTCTTCAATTAAGCTTTTGAAGTAATTTTGTATAAAACTTAGAGTTGTCGGAGTGTTTTTAAGTTTAATTTACTATTAAAACTTGTCGAAAGAGAGAGAGAGAGAGCGCTCACACAAAAGCAGATAAGTAATGCCACTTAGCCGTAGCAGGAACATCAATAGGAGGCAAGGTTGGGATGAGCTTCAACGATACAATTTCGGTTTGCTTACCGACTCCAAGGACAATAGAAGCCGTAAGAGTTAGCACCAAGGCCAAAATCCTCAGAATCGACTCACGTGTCCCACCTCCTCTTTGGTTTGCTATCTTCACTTCCTTCTGCTGTTCCATCCCACTATTGCTCCCAATGTACTGGCTCTCCATATCAAAAATCCAAAATACAAACCCAACTCAGAGGTCTTCCAGAGACTCAGAAACTCAAGAGAGAGATAAGAGAGATGAGGAGAGGGGATAGAGAAAGAAGAAGATAGCCTTTAAATAGAAAGAGAGGAGGGGAGAGAGAATAATAAAGAGAAAATTGGATATTGGTCTTTGGATTTTGGATTTTGGTTTAATGGGGTTTTGGTTTCTGAATTAAAAATTTAGGAGTATTGATTTTTGAACTTATCATAATGTGAGAAATGATCATTTTGAGTAACAACCTTCGAAATTTCGTTAAAATTATAGGGTTTTTAGGAGAAAATAAGAGACATAAGTTCTAATAATTACCCCAAAGATTATTACTCCATATTTTGACAAATTCAAGAATCAAAATACTCATGAATTTTTAATTCAGAAATCAAAATTTAAAAATTTAGAAACTAATGCTCCAACTATCTAAATAACAAATATTGGCCTCTGTATGAAAGGAAAGTTAGCGGTGGGAAAATTAAGCAGGGTTGGGTCTGTTTGAGGTGGTTAGGGAGGAGAGGAGTGAATAAAAGGGGTGGGGGCCATGTGAATGAATGCAAATGACAACTAGTGTCCGTACACACACACACGTCTACGTGTGCATGCTCGAGCTATATTGCTACGCATATTTTTCCAATATGTATGTGGTCAGAAATCCCGGCGCCATGTTTATCGAGCAGCTTTTTTCCGGTAGTCAAATTATGTGTATAGGACCAGCGCAGATCCAGAGAAGTTCAAGATAACTTTTGAATTTTGATTGGTTGGCCAAGTGGCAAGAACGAACAGTGTTGCGTGATCTTTAAGAATCTAAACTCAATCATACCAGCTATGTTCGATTTCTCTCATGTGTGATGCCTTAATTTTTTAGAATTAGTGATTGTTTATAAATAAGTAGACGATTTGATTTGATACAGATGATTTACGGGTAATTACATGTTTGATTTTAAGGAGGCTTGTTGTGTTTTAAGTTCTTATTAAGAATTATTCATGCAAAAAAATATACCAAATCAAAAGTTGTCTAATTCTTTGATTTGTAGTAATTTTATTTTAACTTTATTTCAAAAAGATTGTTGTTTTACGCTTTTAAAACGATTAAAGAAACTTATATATGTTGAGAGTTGTCCCACATCAGTGAAGGACAAGGTTTGCTATGTGCTTATGTGATCTTAAGTTATTCCTCATATTGCTAATTGGTTTTATGGTGGAACCTCAATTTCATCATGGTATCAGAGAGGGTTGTCCTCTATGAAGCCGAACGGCCACACGCGTTCCACGTCACCCAGTTGTTGTCCACGTGTAGGCTTGAAAATCCGCTACATGTGCGGGGGTGTGTTGAGAGTTGTCCCACATCGGTGAGGGACAAGGTTTGATATGTGCTTATATGATCTTGGGCTACTCCACATATTGCCAATTGGTTTTGTTTGTACCATACTTGACCAATTCTGAAACTACTGAGCACTGGTCAACGTTATACAGTCAAGGACCCAGAAGAGTTTCCCTCTAACCAGGAGGCCAATCATAGTGCGACACGTGTCGACATCAGAAGCCAATCATAGCGCCACACGTGTCAACATTAGAAGCCAATCACAACACGACACGTGTCAATGTCAGAATGAAACTAGAAACTTTCTTCTATAATTTCACAATATTTCCTAATGTCATTTGTACTAAATCATTCACTTGTACTCACTAAAGGAGAGCTTGAACCTATGTACTTGTGTAAATCCTTCACAATTAATGAGAACTCCTCTACTCCGTGGATGTAGCCAATCTGGGTGAACCACGTACATCTTGTGTTTGCTTCCCTGTCTCTATCCATTTACATACTTATCCACACTAGTTATCGGAACAATTTAGCGAAGGTCACAAACTTAACACTTTATGTTATACCAAAGTCCTCATTGATTTTGTGCATCAACATTTGGCGCCGTCTGTGGGAACGACACTTATTCCCACTCTCTGCAGCTTTGTTAAGCTGGTTTCTACCATTCGTACACTTTCTTTTAACCAGGCATCCCTTTCCAACATGGAAAGCAAAGGAAGCCACAATACACAAAATGACACCCCTTTTGCACCTTGTGTGAAGCAACGAAAGAAAGAACAAAAGAAGTTTGCTCTTCAGGCTAAAGTCAATGAGCTGGAGGCTCAAAACAACAAGATAGCGATGAAGAATGAGATCCTTTAAGAGCAGTATGAGAAGGTCTTCGAGATGCTCCACGAGGCTAGATATACTAAAACACACGAGCTCATCACCCCTGTGGAAGTCAACCATCAATGGGTGCCCCCAACACGGAGGGTCATTTGCCCTCGACATGGGTATTCTTGTTAAGGAGCGAGTTGCTCATCGAAATGGCGACCAACATGAGACTTCTCTCAACCCAGCTACTTCGACCCGAAGCAGGAGTAATGAAGGAAGACACATCCTTACAGAAGGAGTGGAAAGATCGAAAGCCATCTTTCGCAACTGTCGAGACTTCCTAAAGAAATATCGAGACAATCCCATCCATGTAAGCTCGAAAATCAATGATCCAAGGGTCTCTGAAAGACTCGATCCCCTCCTATGTCCCATGATGGCTACCAATTTGGGGAAAGGGCAACAAGTCCTAGAGAAACACGAAGGTATAGGTGACTCAAAGATCTTCCAACAGACATACCTTGGAAGTCAGTACGGTGAGTCTAGGGAAAAATCACATGCTCTTGATCAAACATTCCTACTTCCAAGATGAGATGGAGATTTACAAAAGAAAGCTCTAGTGGTACATGACTCCACTCAGGACCCTCTTGTCCTACAGCTCCTTAAGAAAGTAACAAGTTGAAAGCCGAACGACAAGCCGAGATACCTAATTGGAACCAACCTAGGCCTGGCCCTCTTACAAGGAGGATCCTCGACACCCCCTCCAAGCAAAGACAAAGCAGAAGCTTGGCTTGCAACTCTATACTGGAAAGAAGGACTCGATTGAACACCTTAACCTCTTTGAGTCCACCATGGCATACCGGATGCATATCGACGAAGAGCGATGTCTTCGCTTCCCCTCCACCCTCTCTAGTGGAGCTCTAAACTGGTATTGCCGTCTTTCACCTGAGACGGTAGACTCATTTGAGGAATTGAGGAAACTGTTTATTTCTCAAGACATTTTCAAGATCGATCGCTTGCACTCTGCGAATGATTTGTACACCATTCTGATGTGTAAAATAAGTTAACACACAAAATTAAACCCTCTTTTTATCAATTGTAGTAAAGTATGTAAGTAGGGATCGTTCTAGGCCGGGGATTAGGAGGGATTGCTAAACACTTGAAAACTGACTTAAAAACATAAAAACAAAATTTAAAACACTAAACTAGACTCAAAGAATGCAAAACTATACTTTAAAATACTTAAACAAACATAAAACTCAAAACAGCAACCTAATGACTCAAAACTGCCTACAAACCACTTTCTGGGCAGTTTTGAGAACCTAACAAGAACTTGGACGAAGTTGGATGAAAACTTGAATCAAAACACTTAGAAACACAAATCAAAACACTTTCTAACTAATCTAAGACTTCAAAATAAAGGGGGATTTGTTTTTTGGACGAAAATTGAAAACAAAACAGAAACTTTAAAACAAAACAGATTGTAAAACGTTTTTGGATGAAAAGGATGGATAAAAGGCTAGTTAGGAGGTTCTTCTCCACACATGACACACTTGCAAACAAAATGATTTTCAGTTGTTCTTTCAATAAATTATGAAACTCAACACCCCAAGTTAATTAGATACGCTTAAATTAACCTTCAAGTTCTCCTTAAGTTAATGAATTGGATGGAAAAGCGCATACAACAATTCAAAGCATTCCTCAAAGGTTCCTTACGTGATGAGCACAATAAAGATACAATCAAGAATCATGAAGCACAATGAGAACTATAAGTGTTGACGAGGCATTCGTTACTATGATGAGCATGAAACTAGTGCCAAGAATTCATTCAACGCGATCGTTTTCAAGCGATCTTCACTACTTGTGATTATAAGATTGTAACTAAGCGTGCACTCTCAACATACACAAATAAGTTATCAATCAAGTAGATGAACGAATTGAATCCGCAACTTATGAAATAACAACTGAATGTAATCAAATCATATTGCAAGCATGTACATGGTTTCGAATCACCCCCCAACTAAGGGGGTTTAGTTCCTCATTCTTGCAATACAAAGATACATAAAATTAGACATTAAAATCAAAGGAAAGAAAACACCTAAAATGCTCCAACTTGGTAGCAAGTGCATCCAAGATTCCTCCTTTCCCTTGCTTGCGGCATGAAGCTTGTGGACAGATTTTTGGGTGGATTTATGGTGTAGAATGGATGGGGAATTTTGTGGAAGGGTTTAGGGTGAGAGTGGAAGAGTGTTTGATGGTTGGGGAGTGGTAGAGAACTAGGCAAAGAGGGTGGAAGAAGGTGGAGTGGCTGTTATGTTTTCTAGGCACTAGAATGGTGTTTTTGGGGTGTTTTGCTTCCTAGGGTGTGTATGGACGAATTTCTGTGATAAAATGATGAATATGGGGGATTGTTCTTTGGCCAAGGGGTGTAAACATGTATTTATAGGCCCCCAAAAACCTTAGAAAATCAGGTTAGGTTAAGGATGAAATGCATGGTAATTTGTGTGTGTGGTGTGCAATGGTCCAAGGGTGAAAATGAAGTGATGATGCAAAGTGTGAAGGGTAAAATGGAGTGGTCTTGAAGCTAGGGAGCATGAATGATTGTGTACATTGCATAGAGATGGAAAGGGAGGTGAAAATGTGTCAATAAATGGGTCAAAGGTGCAGCAACATGTGGTACACAAGGCATGGGATTCCAAATGTGAATGATGAAGCATCAATTGGTGCATGTAATGGATGTAAATGTTGTCTAAAATCTAATGAGTGAAGGGAACAAGAGGTATCAAGCAATTGAGTGTAATAATTAAATGAATTGAAGCATGAAATTAGAAATTATGTAGGGGACAAGAGTGATCAAGCATGGCATGGAATCCAAAGGGAATTCTATGTGGTTTGCATGGCAAGGAATGCAAGTTGGGGTGACAGATTTTTGGGCTGTTTTCTTCATCTTTTGGACCATAATTCTTCATATTCTTGGCCTCTTTTAGTTCTCAAATTCGTCCATCCACTT